TAATCATTCCAATTAGAAAATGAGTGCATATTGCTAACTCAATTTTGTTATTTGGTTATTATATTTAAAACCTCCACACTGCAGAGGCAGTGTCTAAGAGGTTTGTTCAAATGAGTCGATTTCTAATCGTGTAATTATGTTTTTATTGAGTTCCTTCCAAACTCTATATAACCCACTGTTTCCAAAAATGTTTTTTTTCTTTTCTCATAACTATATAGAAGCAATTCTTTCAAAAGAATAGCAGCAATTTCTTTCAAAAGAACAATTAAGGGACATTGGAAAAGTTAACTATATATATTCTGCCACATTTTTCTTTTTTAAAGATTCATTCAGAGTTTTCACAAGTGAAACTAAAAATAAATACTTCAGAGAAATATATAAAATATTAAATATGTGTCATTTTCAAATTTGAAACATGGAAAAATTAACAACTCAAAACCAAAAGCTACTCACCAACTTACTAAAATAAATCAGTTTCCAAGGGATCCGGAAATTGTTGAAGGAATAATGACATGTAATCTTGGAAGTTTCTAGATTTAAAAACTTGAGGTCTGTGGACTTTAAAGTTTAAATCACACTTAGTTTAGTGAGTTCTTGAAAAAAAAATTGACATTGTAACAGGACCCAATATCCAGCTGTTCTGTGGTCAAATCTGTCTCTATCCCAAAGGGTAAAATTTGCAGAAACATATTGCCACTTTGCTTTTTATTCCATACTGATCAAATACTCTTACTCTCAATTTTTTAAATGTAAAACTAGAAATGTTTTTTAAAATCTTGGGTCAATTAATATTATATATTTTATAATTTCTAAATATTTCAAAATATTAAAGTGCATGGATTAGTTGGTTTGCAGTTTTTAGTAACATACCAAAAGAAAGGGGGAAGGTGTGACTATAGCATCTTTGGCTTTAGGAAATGTGTTCAAGAAGTAAGCAGCCAGGAATATACCTGCATTTGTCATTGGCTTGGGCGCTGGTGGGCTATAGAAAGCAAATGCCAGGTGTCCTCTCAGAAGAGGCAAGAGATCTATATACATATCCCAATACATTCATCCTAAAATGGTGTGGTTCTTCTCAGAAATATTAACTAAATTTAGGATCAGCATATCACCATAAGATACAATAAAATATCAGCAGTTTTGTTTTTCTATGTCATGCCATGTGATTCTTTTTAGCAGTAACAGCAAAGTATTTACATTTCTTCTTAGTTGAAAATTAACACGTGAAAGTGGAAGCATGAGTGTGTGTAACATAGGTGTCAATTTGTATTGTAATATAATGTTAAAATAAGGCAGAATTTAGCCTAACCTCAGGGTTAAATTGCAAAGCATTTTTAAATGGAGTATTTAAATACTGGAGGGCTTTAATTTTAAAGTCAGTCTGAAAGTAAAGATTTAGTATGATTTACTGTTTACTACTCAACTATAACTTGTTTAGTTTTTTCTACTGAATGATTGTGAATCAACTGGAAATGAATAAATTATATTCTTTGGAATAATGGTTCCAAAGTAGATATTTAGAGGTTCTAGACATTGTTTTGAGGTCAAGTGAATAATCTGAACGACTTTTGTAGATTACACTTGCTTTTCACCCGATAGGGATGGCTATGGGATATGCTTTCTTCCTGGTGACTAAGATGATGGCAGCTGACACTGGCTGCCAAGGTCCATTCATTAACTTGGATGTTAGGATGAGTGCAGGGCTCCCCAAAACGAGACCTGACACAGAAATAGGGAGCAGAAAAAGTGTGAGAGCACTGCTTGGTCACTAGACTCAATCACCCTGTCACTGGAATAACTAAGGGAAGAAAGACTAAAATAATTTTAGTGCACATCCTGTGGAATTCACACTACTCCTTTCTATCTGTTAACTCAGGCATAGTCCTTACATTTCCAGATCTACTCATTCATCATTGCAAAATGAAGGACAAGTTCTGTCCTAACAAAAACAATAAAAACACAATCAGTTTGAAAATAAAAATTCTGGCCTCTTGGTACACTGAATAAAAATACTATAGAAACGAATACAGGAAGAGAACAACTGACAGGTATATTTTATTTCTATCTTCCCACCTTCATTCCAAATATTTAGAGTTCTACAACACAAATTTTCCCTTATCACATGGAGAGTCTGGTCAATAAATCCCAGTGAGAAAACTAATATCTGAATCACCAGGTTCATGAAGCCAGCTGAAGAAGTTGCTACATCTGCAGACTGATCCACGATGGCTACATTGAATGTAAGCATTCCCTCAGCATGGTATTGCCAAGGTTATGACATCACTCTTTGCTTACTATTCATGTTACCACATGAATGTTCAACAGGCCCAGGACAAATAAAATGAGGGTCAGGGCTTCCCTCATTCTTAGAAGGATATTTTTCAATTATATATTTTGTTACATCTTAAGAGATAAAAGCTGTGTCTGCAAGTGATTAAAAGATGTTTTGTATTAATGGTTTCATTTCTGCTGAAATAAATGCGTAATTTAAACCACACATAATTCCTAGCAATTTAGGCCCATTACAGAGTTCTAGCTTCTTTTTTATGATAGTTACTAATTAAAACAGAGTGTTGCTGCCACGTGGAGCCTGTGACTTCCACAAACAGGTTTAATGAATAAAACGTCCTGACATAAAAATGAAAACAATACAGACAAAGCTTCAAGCTGTTGTGTTTCTAGTGTATGGTAAAGATTAAGGACATTCGCTGAAGTTCAGAATTACGCAGAGAAAACACTTGTTAATTTCATTCCTTAAAGGAGGAATTAAAGGATTTTTTAGTGAAATCTGAAATAGTCACTAATTTTTCTAACTTCTGGACCTCTCATTCCCAGCTGACTCCCCTTCCCCAAGAATTTAAACTCATCAGAGTCACTTTTAAAGGATAAATGATGGGATATTTTAATGTAATCCTGCATATAGGTTTAGATTGAAAATGGGAATTGGGACCATAATTAATTATGTTGCCAAGTTTTTGAACTTTAAGGAGACAGACTGAGGCAAACGAGGGCATTTCATAAGAATGCAACCTTCTAAAAGTTCATGGGTTAAAATTTTGGTAAAATGACAGTATCTTTTTGACATTTAATTAATTCCATATGCAGAATGGGTGTGAGAAATTAATATTCTTTTGGTGTATTCACTTTCTGAAACCACTGTAATAAGAGACTGACACAAAATCAAAACCAAATATAAACATGGTCTTCAGCTAGGGTATGGTCTTATTATTACCCTTAATAAACAATAATTAGTAATAATAAATACTGAGAGCCCTCAGTACACTCTGATCTGTACCCGTATTGCTCTAGCATCCATCCATCACATCTTTCAGGATAATAAAACAATTCATTCCGATCAAATCCTCAAAACCGCTCCCTCTGGAGGGATGTTTTATCTCTACTTCTGCCAGCCAGGGAGGATTTTACTTGTTTAAAGGGGGCGGAGAATGGAGCGGGGGTCCTATTTATTTCCATTGACGACTCCCCTGGTTCTCAAAGGCGCTCAGGGACCGGGTGGGGGGCAAAAGGGAGGAGGTGCGGAGATTCCCTCCTTCAGAAAAGAAAAAGGGTTCAGGAAGCGAGGCAAAAGAAGGGGTGGGCGAGGGCGGTGGGGGTAAGAGGGTAGTGTGGTTGGAGAGGTCAGCGACTGAATGAAAAAATAAATTGTTTTTTGATATAGCAGGATCGAATGATGACGAAAACTAGACAAATTAACCAGCGCAACTAAGTTGCTAAAAGGAACTATGTTAAAAAAAAAAAATTAAACCCAGAGACAGTTTCTCAGGTTCATTTCTCGCTCAAGGTCTTGGTTTCAGAGAGTTCCTTGTACCCAGAGCAGGAGATGGACAGCGCCCCGAAGGGGACCGGGAGGGGAACCGCGACCTGGCCGGAAGAACAGCTCAGCGCCCCTGCAGAGGTGCCCACCGCAAATTCCAAGGGCCTCCGCGACCCGCCTGGACCTGGTGCGGGGGCAGCGGCGAATTCTCCAGCCCCGGGCGGGCGTACGGGGTGGGTGGGGGCAGGAAGGGCGCACAATGAAACGAAACCGCACCCTAAATTCTGCAGTTTGCGAAGTGTCCCGGGAGAACAGCTGGGACCTGGAACCACTCGTTCGGATTCCCGAGTGTCGGGGCCGCCCCAATTCTCAGCTCGGTGGAACAGAAGGTAGCGCCGACTAGAGCGAACACCGACTGGTGCACAGACAGGGCTGGGGCATGACGCTCTGTCGCTGGGTCTGGGGCGAGAGGGAAGGTCCCCTCGGTGGCTGTTCTAGTACACCGGCAAAAGCAGGATCAGGTCCCAGGCCTCCCTGCTTAGCTCGAGGAAGTTTCTCTAACGATGCTCGCCTAGCAGACAGAGGACTAACGAGGAGCCAGAGCGGTGGGGGTTCGGCTGGCCGAAGGGGACCGAGATCCCAGAGCCCCCGCTGCGGGGATGGGGGCCGTCCGCCAGGAACCCGCTCCTGTCCTGCCCGCGGGCAAGCCCATGCGCAGCCCAGACCACTCTTCGTCCCACACTCACGCGCCTCTATCACCCAGTCCCGCAGACTTTCTCTAGCGAAGGGAGAGGACATGAAGCAGAGGGGGAGGCAGCAGCCCTCCAGGCAGGCGGGCAAAGTAAGTGTCCAGGCCAAGTCCGGGATAAAGGTTCTGTGGCTCCCCGGACTCCGCCGCACCCTGGGCACCGGGAACCTAGTGTCCCCGGCCTGTGCAACTGTCTCTCCACCTCCTAACACCGTTCGCGCCGCCCAGCCACGAAGCCAGCGTGGAAAACCGAGGGAGACCTGCTCTACGCCCCTAAAGCCCTCTGCTCCTCTGGATCTGGCGCCCTCGTCCAGCGGTGACGGAGAACCTCGCTGGGCCCCTCTGACTTAGGGGACGCGCGCCTCCACCCCCCCACCCCGGATGAAACCTTGGGTGTGAACACTCCCTGTGCCAGGTCTTGGGGTGGCGGGCTAAGGCGTCGAGGCGTCACAAGTTTGCTTTCCTCTCGCTACTTACCTTACAAAAATCTGTTTGATTTTCCTGGGAGGGTGAGAGGAAAAATCCCTCCCCGAGGTGTGGTGTGCGAAACAGTCCACGTCCCCAGCACCGGCCAAGATGCTAAGCACCAGTACTCAGGAACCGAAGGGGCTGGGAGGCGGAGGAGGAGGCAGATAAAAGAGAAAAATTAAATCGGCCGAAGTGTCCCAACTTTGCGGTGGGCGCTGCAAACTTCAAAGGCGGGCGAGGCTGGCGGCGCGCGGGCCGCCGAAGTTGCTGCGGAGTGGAGCGTGGAGAAGCCCGGGGCTGGGGGATCCCGGGACAGAGCGGGGAAGTGGCGGGAGGTCCTTTTAAAAGGCGGGGAGGGTGCGGGGGCTGGGCGGCGGGAGGATGCTGCCGAGGCCAGCGGGGCTGTCGCGCGCTCCGCGGGCGGCCGCTCGGGGCACCGGCGACTGGCTGGAGTGCGACGCAAGGAGAGCCCGGCGCGCGGCGGCGGCGGGTACGCTGCGCGGTAAGCTCCGCTCTCTCGCGGCTCCGAGCGGGGAGTGTGTGTGTTTGCTCCCGAGTGTCACTGCTGAAGCCCAGAGCCGCTCCCCCTCCCGCCCCACCGCTGCCCGCCCGCCCCCTCCCTCCTCTGCCCGATGCCTCCCCCCTCAGTTCCTCCCTCCCTCCCGCTGCGCGCCACCGCGCGCGCGCGCAAACACACACTCACACACACACACACACAAACACACACACACTCCACGACCCAGGACTCCCCAAACAGGGACCCTCGCAGGCGGCATCGCAGGGGACACACCGCTGTCCTTATCGCCCCGCCGGTCGCGGGGAAGGAGAGGGAGGCCCACCGAGACCCCCCCCCCCCAAAGCCACAAAATCTAGGGAAAGGCGTACGCGGGGCCATCGCACTGTCAGGGAGACCCGGGTGCACAATAAGGGGGAACTCTGGGGTTGATGGGGAGGGGGGAGTGGAGAGACGAGCTAAATCCAGAAGGTTGGAGGCGGAAAGCAGAGTGTGCAAACTGTGCATTCATGTCCCACTTTTTCACCCGACCGCCTGCCTACCACAGCCGTCACTCAGGGAGCGCTTCCCCCTCCGCGCACACCGAGCCTCCTCCGGCTTGAAACTCAGCAGCTGTTTTAACAATTGAAAAGCGGCCCTACAGGACCAGTGAGAGACGGAGCAGAGTGTGTGAAGCCATTAAGGCTGACTAGGTAATTATGATAAGAAGTTACCTAATTAGCAACCTGGCCAGGGCATCGAAAAAAGGCGGGGGAAGGGGGGGGGAGTACTGAGTGATTTAGTGATCTCATTTTCCCAAATGCGAACCTAGTTTCCAGCAAACCTGGTTTTTATACTCTCGAATTTTAAGTTCTCCGAGTGTCAGTATTGAAAGCATGAAAAATACTTGCCCTCTTGTGATTACCGCAGAGAAATGAAGATAAAGAAGATGAAAATCAGCCCTACGGAGGTCCTATGAACAACTATGGTCTTTTTGTTAAATACCTGGTCACAGAGGGCGGTGCAATGAGGCTCCCGAAGTTTTGTGGCTCGTAGGTCAGAATACTGCTGTAGATGGATTTATGAACCTGTTTATAGTCCACAAAGTAGTTTTGTAAAACCCATAGAATATTTAAGCTAAAAGAGATGTTGACATCACTGTGCAAACTTGTTTATTTATTTATTTAGGATATGAGACAATGAGACGGGAAAAGGGGATCTCTTGGTCTCTGCTCAGATCAGGAGGAATGACTGCAGCATTTAATGACCCAGAGCTGGTCATTGGGCATTCATTAGCAAACATTTATTAAGTGTCTACTGTGTACTATGTATATCTTTGTGCTGTGATTTCAAGGTAAAACACAGTGCCTGCTGACTTTAAGGAGCTCACAGCCTGGTGGGAAGACAGAGGCATACATGGAAGTGGAATTATCACTATAATAAATGTACCTGTTGGGTACATTTCTGTGTAGGAGCATTGGAAAGGGAACAGCTAATTATTCTTTGGAAGGTACTCTTTTTTTTTTTTTTTTAATTTCTTTTCAGTGTACCAGAATTCATTGTTTTTGCACCACACCCAGTGGTCCATGCAATGCGTGCCCTCCATAATACCCACAACCTGGCTCTTGATAGAGATTTTAGTGTAGAGTTTTCTGAAGGACGAAGAAGAGAATGCCAGGCTGATAAGGATGGGGGAGGGAAGGGCATTCCACAGAGAAAAGCAAGCGAGGAGGTTAGGTGTTAAAGTACTTGGTGTGTCCTGGGAGCTGGGAGAAGGTAGGTGTGATGGATTGGGGCTCAAAGTAAGCATGGCCAGGACACACCAGGCTCTACAGGCCCAAAGAGCCAAAACTCTCCTGAAGGTGGTGCATGGCTGGGAAACTACTAAGGACTTTATGCAAGGACAGCTTTTAAGGTTTCTAACTGTCATTCAGTAAGAGTTTTAAAAAGTTATGGCTGTTATTGTTGTGGAAGACAAATAGAAGAGAGATGGCAGTGAGGAGGTTATTTCTAGAGAAAAATTTAGGGCTCAACTAAGGCAATGGAAGTGCCAACTGGAGGTTAGGACAGCTCTAGAGATATTTAGGAAATAGAACAGACAGGACGTAATGGTTTATATTGAGGATAATGGGGAATAGGAGTAGTCTAGACTGACATGGAGATTTCTGGTTGGGGCAAGAAGTCAGGAGATGATGCTATTTGCCAAGAGAAAAGACATATAGAAAGGAGCAGTTTTGGTAGGAATGTAATGAGTTCTGTTTGAAACTTCTTGAGTTGGGTGCAAATGGGGTATCTGAGCTCAGCACTGTGTAAGCTGTTGGAAGGAGTGATCCGGAGAGAGAAATCCAAAATGGATGATCCATCAGGAATCATCAGCCTTCAGGTATTTCTTAAAGCCAGGGAGAAAACGAACACAGCCAGGAAGAGATAGGATGGAACATGGCAGAGCACCAATGTTCCATTCACATAGGGATAGATGGAAGAAGAGGAACCTGCAAAAGGAAGAGTTGAAGACCAGAGAAAGAAGAGGAAACTAGGAGAGAGCAAGGCTGATGAAGCCAAGAGAGGAAGGGACTGTTGACCAGTGCAGAATGTGGCAGAATGATCAAGACAGCCAGCCTGAGAAGCAACTGCTACTCCTTACAAATGTCTCAGTGATCTTCACCTAAGTAACTGTAGTTTATAATTTATGTGTATGAAGGATCCAGATCATAGCAGGTAGAGAAGGTGGAATCATGGGGACAGAGAACACCAACTCTTTTACCTAACAGTTTGGCCTTGAGGGAAAGGAGAAAAAATTAAAAGAAAAGCACTTATGTAGAAGTTGTATTTTTGTTTGCTTTCTTACACTTGGTCTTAATTGGATGATACTGAGGGAAAAACAGGTGGAAAGGGAAAGGCTGAGAAGTCTATGAAGTTCTTTGAGGGTCAGTTCCTTCCTCAGTATGCCCAGGGCACCTTACCTGGCCCATGAATTTCACAGAATTAGTGGGGAGTTTGAATAAACCAGAGATTGAGATAATGCTTTAAAATTGCCATTAGAAAGAAATGGAGTCCAAAAGGTGTGAAAGTGACTTATCATTAACACAGACAATTCATGACAGACTAAATCTATGTGACAAGTTCTAGAAGAACTCTGTGAAGGTTGTTTTTATGAAAGTCCCTAAAAATATTTCTGTTTTGAACATCAGGATTTGCATATATGAATATACCTGTCTTCTAAAAAAATGTATATGTATTAAATATCCTCAGACTTGAGTGATATGTCATATTAGAAGGCATTATTTAGTCAGACAGACTTGTATTTAATTCTAGACTCAGGTAATTATTTGCTATGGGGTAAATAGGTTAGCCTCACTGAGCTTCAGTATTTTGTTTTGTTTTTCAAGTATAAAAATGGAACAAATTATAGCTGACTTATAGATGTTTTGTGAGGATGAGGTTGTATGCCATATTCAAGTGTCTGGCAGAGATTTATTTATTTATGAGGTTACTTTTAGATTATGATATTTATTTTTATTTAATTGGAGGGGAAAGCCCAAAATGATTATAAAACTAAGAATATAATTAAAGTCTGTGTAAGAGAACTCCTTGTACAAGCCTGTGTCTTAAAGCAGCAGTCCTCAAAGTATGGTCCATAGATCCCTTGGGGGTTCCTGAAACCTTTCAGGGAGTTCTGCAAGGCCAAAGCTATTATTATATTAGTTCTAAGATGTTATTTTTTTTTTTTTTACTTTGTTGACATTACTAATAGTACAAAAGCAGTGATGGGTAAAACTGCTATCACCTTAGCATGGATCAGGACAGTGGAACCAAACAAACTTCCTAGTAGTTGTAGTCTCCACTGCCACAAATGTCACTTTCACTTAAGAATGTCTTTGATGAAGCAGTAAAACTTATTCATTTTATTAAATTTCAACCCTTCACTCTGTCCTTTTAATATTCTGTGTGGCAAAATGGGAGGCACACATAAAATTCTTCTGTGACATCCTAAAGCACAGTGTTAGTCATGAATTAAAACCCTTGGGTAATTGGGTTGTGAGCTGAACTAGCTGCTTTTTTCCATGAGACATATTTTTACTTGAAAGAACAACTGACAGACAAGCTATGGTTATTTACACTTGGATGTTTTGCAAATCTTTTTTTTTTTTTTCAAAACAAATTAAGTGAGCCTGTCATTTCAAGGTTAACAACTGGGAGTATTTATTTTCAATGAAAAATATGGGCTTTCAAGTAAAAAATAAAGAATTTATAAAACTTGTCTCTGCCACCATGAGTTTGGTAGCTTTCCTATATTCAAAGCCTTTTGTACTAAGATTGTGATCATTTTAATTAATATGTTTTTGATATTGTACAATGAAATATATTGACATTTGGAAGCTCTACAAGACTCAGTGAACCAGTATTTTCCAAATGACCAATGATGAATGATGCTATAAAATCATTCATGAAGTTAAAGAACCATTCAAAGTACAAGATGGTTCGAAGAATTTTAATATAATGGAGTATGAAAAATTAAGTGACACAGTTTCGTATTCCACACTGCAATTAGAAGATTTAAGAAACTACCACTTGTAGAATTTTGGTATAGCATCAAAGAAGAATATCCAGAGTTATTAAAAGTGTTATTAAAATGCTGCTTCATTTTCCAACTACATGTCTGTGTGAAATGGAATATTCTTCATCTACTTCAAATAAAACAACATATTGCAATACAGATTGAATATAGAAGTGATATGAGAATCCA